CCGCGCGGGAGCCAGACACGGCTTTTCACTCCCCTAATCCCCGGCCCCAGAGCCACGGGGGTTCTGTCTGCGGGGCTCCGGGGAGGGAAGGGCACGGCTGCGGCCCTGGCAGGCTCGGCAGCCGGGAGAGAGCAGAGCCCTGGGGCTCGGGGCTGAGGACGGGCTCACTTCAACCCTGCTGCCTTCCTGCCTGCTGGCACCTTCAGCTGCTGCTTTTGGGGGGACACAGCCCCACCACACTCCGTGAGGCACGGGCAGGGCAGTTGTGGTGTGGCCAAAGCCTTCTGTGCTCTTAAACAGGCACTTTGCATAGAATCTCAGGATCATTTAGTTTGACAAACACCTCTAAGACGGATGGAGCTTAACCATTAACCATTTTCTCCCTCGGTGGAAGAACTCCTGTTCCTGCTTGAGCTGTGCAAAGCTGCAACGATTCTTTATTAGTGGGTCACTGTCAAGTCAAAATTATATTCCAAAATAATCTCCTTAGTGTGTTAAATAAGCACCTCAGATTAGACAAATTGCACGGATTTTGCCTAATAACCTTCCCCCAGCTAATCCTATTTTTCTGCCAATGTCTGACCTCCATCGAAGCCCACATGAACCCAGAGAGTTGGTTTCTCCATCCCGGTTGTGCTGGGATGGTCGGGGTCACTGAAGGCAGCCCCTTGCACACCTGAACACCCACAGTGGCTTCAGGTGAGGGGAGGAAACCCCCTGAGCTGGGGTTTCCCATCCAAACCATCCCCTGCTCAAGCAACCCCCAGAGTGATGAGGCTGGGAGTGAGCTGCGCACTGCATCCCCCCGAACCTCTCCTGCTCTGCTGGTTTGGGGTGCCCGAGGTCCCCTTTGGCCGCAGGGGTGGGGGGCAGGCAGCCCTGTGCCCTCCCGTCACTAGGGGTCTGTGTCGGGCCAGCTCTCCGCGCACAGAGCGAGCCTCCCTCCTCCTCCTCACTGGCCGCCCAATTGCGGGAGTTTTCCTCTTCTTTTTTTCCTTTTTTTTTTTTTTTTTTTTTTTTTTCCCCTGGCTGAATCCGAAGCTGAGAGAGGCCGAGAGCTCCCACAGAGCTCTGTGCTTCATCCGAGCCCGTTCCTGACCGAGAGGGTCGCGCTCTGTGCAGCCGGGCTGGGCTCACCTTGCCTGGGCACCAGTTGCCCGCTGAGCTGCTCCAGCACTCCCCTCCCCAGCAGGGCAGGGAGGGATTAAAAAGAGGGAAAATCCCCCAAACGCGTGGGTCAAGATAAAGGCAGTTTATAAAGTGAAAGCAGAGGGAGTGTGAGGGCAAGAAAAAGGACAAAGAGGAAACGCAGGAGGCTGAAATTCTCCGCTTGCCATCTGCAGGTGATGCCCAACCCCTTCCCGGGAAGTCAGGATTGGTCTGTAAGGCAAATGTACCTCACAAACACCCCCCCCTTTCTCCTCCTTTGCCTTTTCTTCTCTACCTGCTCAGGTGTCACTCTTTGGTCACTTTGGGGCTGTCCTGGCCGTGTCCCCTGCCAGGACCCTGCCCACCCCAGGGACAGCGCTGCTGCCGTGGGAGCAGCAGGAACCAGAACGGGAGTGCTCCCAACACCTTCCCAGCTCCCACCACACAGCCCAGCACCGCCAGGGCTGCCAAGGGGAGAATTAACCCCATCGCAGCCGGACACGAGGGCACAAAGAGCCCCTCAGCGCTTCCAGCTGCTGCCAGGGCATCCCAAGGGAAAGGCAGGTGCCGCAGGATCCTGGACCCGCAGCTGTGAGGAGAAACATCCGGAGCAAAGCCAGGGCCTGCCCCGTGCCTCGGGCTGAGGGAACTTTCCTGGGTCTGCGGTGGAAGGCGCCTGCGGGGCAGAAAAGTGATTGGCGCCGGGCCAGGAGAGTGGGCGATTCAAACGCCTCGGGCACGCAGTTTAACCTCTCGGAGCTTGAACTTTATTAGCCAAGAAACTCTCGCTGGGTCTAAGAGAGGGGGAAGCACGAGGGTAATTTGCCTTCTGGCCTTGCGGGGTAATGGATCCAGTGGAGCGGGGTGAGGGGTGGCCACTGGCCAGGAGTGCTGGGCTTCGGCTGGAGCTCTGCTTCCATGGTGGCATTGCAGCTCTGGAACTGGAGAGAGGGAGGGAGGCATGGCCAGCGTGTCCCAGCCCCTCTCCTCCCTGGACAGACCCCCCAGGAGTACTCCCCTGAAGCACGAGTGCCCCAAAGCATCGCTGCCAGCGCAGGGAGCCTTCAGCCTCCTACCTGCACCTACAGCTCCTCCTCGTTCCCTTGCCTATGGAGCAAAAAGCAAAGGGAGAAGTGTTACACTGGGCAGCGTGGCTGAGGGAGAGGGGAACACGGGCTGAACCCTGGCCCTGCCAGATGGCAGGACTGCGACAGGCAGCAGAGATGAAAACCGTGCAATACCCACCTCCTCTTCTTCCTCCCTCCGCAGTGGAACCGCTGGCCTGGGGGCGAGAGGAGCGAGTGAGGCCGAGCTCCCCCCACCCCATCACACCCACCCCTGCAGTCCTGGCACTGCCCACAGGCTCCTGCTCAGGCTGCCCCATGACTGCCAGTGCTGCTGGTTTCCATGGTTTTCTCCCTAAAATTGGTGGGCAGCATCCCTGCAGCAGCTGTGAGCGTGGCCACCCTGCACAAAGCGGAGTCAGAACGCCCAGGCAGGGCCACAGGGTGCCCTGCACACTTAGCATCGGGTCAGCCTGGGAGCTGCCGAGGTTCGAGGGCTCTGGGAGCGCTGGCTCCCCTCTCTGGAAATGTCAGAGTTTTCTCTGCTATTTTTAATGAATGACCTTCCCTCTGAAGCCCGGGCGCTGGCAGGGAAACACAAAATATTTACGTGGTCTCCCTCCCAACTCGCCCTGTGCTGGGAGCGTGCCTGGATGGAAAGTTCCCAGGCAGCCCCGAGGGCAGGCTGTGCCCACCCCTGGTGCTGTGGGGGCAGGGTTGGTGACCCCCAGCCCCCTCCCGGCCAGAGGAGGGGCTGCGTGGAGCACGGAGCAGAGCCGAGGGGTGCCCGGCCCACCCAGGCACTTACTGAGGATGATGAGGAGCCCGATCACAAAAGCCACCACGGCGAAGATCAGCCCCCCGTTGCGGATGGTGTCATAGTCTGGGGAGGAGGAGAGCCAGGAGGTGTCAGGGCAGCCCCAGCGTGGGGCTGAGCCCGCAGCACAGAGCCAGCAGAGTGGCAGGGGGCTGCCCGTCCCCCTGCCCGCAGCCCCCGGGCACACACTCACCGTAGCTGAACCTGTCCTGGCCCTGCTCGGGCACTTGCTCTGAAAAGAGGAAAAACTCCAGTGAGAGCCACGTCCTCACGGTGTGGAGTGGGAGAGACCAGGACTGAGGACTGCAAGTGGCAGTGCTGTGACCTCCTTGGCACGCAGCTGAGCCAGGAAACTCCTGGGTCTCACCCCGGGAGCTTTAAATCCTGGGCAAACTCACGGGATGCACTTGCAGGCTGCACTGCAGGATGCTCGGGAGCCTTGGAGCCGCAGCTGCAGCTGCAGGCAGGGATGCAGCCCCACTGCCCTCGGGAGGTGGCACTGCCTGCAGGACTCCAGCAGGGGCTCTGTCCCCTCAGAGCACAGACTGAACGACCCCCGAGGCTCACACCTCGCACTAGATGCACCCCAACAACCCCCCTCCGTGTCACCGAGCTCGTCACCGTGTCACCGCTCCAGCCGCCTTACCTGAGTGCTCAGCCCTCTGCCGGGAGCAGCTTGGAAAGAGAAATCACCCCCAGGAGAAGCCAAACACCAGCTGTGCCACGGGGCTGTGGAGCTCTGAGGGTCCAACCCCACATCTGCCCACCCCAAATCCTCATCGAGAGCTTCCCCCGCGGCGGGAGGGACCGGCGCTGCTCCTCGCAGGAGGTGTCCCCGCGGGGGTGGCTGTCCTTACCGTCACCCATGGTCTCGGCGTGTCCGGCTCCGGCGGGCGCCTCGCTCTGCGAGTGGGCACCCACGGGAACGCGCATTAATTGGGAGACAAACCTCATTAAACATTAATGGCCTCGGTGTAATGTTTATCGCAGTCACGAGGGGAGGCACAGGGCTCCCGCCCGCCTTTGGGAAAGAGGGAGGGGAGGGAAGGGCAGGGGCAGCACCCACCGTGCCAGCCGCTGGGGAGGGCTGGGCACCCCGAGCTGCGCGTCCTTGTCCCGGCCCTCCCTCCCGTTCCCATTGTCAGCCCTGCTGGGCTTCACCTCCCGCCGCGGTGACGAGCCGGGGATGGGCTCAAATACAGGCTGCGACCGCCTTTGGCCGGAGAGCAGCGGGCAGCACGGCCCGTCCTCCCAGCCTGGCACCGAGGGTGTGCCGGAGCTCAGCACCTCCGTGCCAGCTCCGTGCCATCCCCGGGCCCCGCAGCACCGCGATGGCCGTGGTGCATCCCTGCCGGCGGTGGGCACCGGGATGCCGTGCCCTCCGCGGGCGGTGCCAGTCCCGGGCCCGGCGTGGCCGGCTGCCAGGAGGGCTGTGCAATCCAGTTTGCTCTAATCTCGCCATCAGCGAGCGGAGTCACGCGCACAAGCCGATTAAGCGGGGTGGCCGGGGGGGAGCCGGCCCCGAGGGACGCTCCCCTTGGCAGGGCTGGCGAGCGCCGACACCCGGAGCCCTCGGCAGCCCGGCCCCGCTGCCACGGGGTGCAGCCAAGCCCCAGGAGGGTGCTGCCCCAGGTGGGGCCGTCACAGAGGCTCTGCTGTCACCGCTGTCACCGTGCCCTGGCAGCGCTCAGCATCCGCCGGAGCGGCGCGCCAGCGGCCCGACACCGCGGCTCCCAAAAAGCCCAGGGACAAAAGTGTCCGCGCCCCCGCGCTCCCTTCCCACGAGCTCTGGCTCTTGCTGAGCTGCAGAGGGGAGCAGGAGGGGGGTCAGGGGCACAAAGCCCGGCTGTGCTGCCCAGGGCGCTGCCCCTGCTCCCCTGACCCAGGCGGGCCACAATGGGACGGCGTGGGAAGCTGCCAGGCTGCCCTGGGAACGCCACGGCCCTCGAGACAAGGCAGGCAGGCACCGATAGAAACGATATTTTATTCTTTCCCCTTAGGTCACAGCACAGAGCACACCAGCCCTCCAGCACAGCAGCACACTCGCCTATTTAAAAGGAGACACAATAGCTCAGTTTATTTTACAACAGTCAGGGTTTGGCCATTTTACACACCACAGGGAGCTCTTTGTTTCGTGGTAACACCGACGGCACACTAGGGACAGCACCGGGACACACACCGTGACACTCGGGGGCCAGCCTGGGGTCTGCTCTGCCCGGGAGCTCTCTGCAACAGCCAGGACGGAGGGAAGGGACACAACACGAGACACACGGTCCCTCTGCCTGGCACAGATGGGACAGAGCTGCCCGGTGCCACCAAGTGATGCCAAGCATGCAGGGACACAGACCACGCTGGGGCAGGGCCACCACAGTGGGATGGACACAGCAGAAACTCCTCCCAAAACCATCCTGGGGGACAAGACCCCCTTCCTGGCGTGGGGGTGGCACCCTGAGGGGTTTCAGCGAAGCCTTGGGGACCCCCCACTGCTGCCCCCACCCAAGCTGGCAGCTCCCAGCCCCAGCTGAGGTTTTACCTGCCCATCGACTTAAGGAAGAGCCAAAAATCACAGGTTTGCCTCTGACCCATGAGGGGACACAGGGTGACAATGACCTCTGGGCTCAGCACATTGTCACAGTGCAAGCTCAGGTGTGCAAAAGCCCCGAGAATCACTCAGTGCCACTCACTGCTGCTCCACGGGGACAGGGGACATCTGGCACTGGGGGTGACACAGAACCACCACGGGACAACACACAGCACTGACATGGGTGGCACAGGAGGTGACAAGGCACCAGCAGGGGCAGGAGCACCAGGAGGAGATGCCAGTGCCCCTTCCGTGCCAGAACAAGCACAGACAGGATCTCTGTTTCTCTTTAGCCCTCAGACTGTGTCACCCACCCAGCTCTGGCTCGCGGGCAGGAGCTGGTTTGTGCTGGTTAGTGAGGTCACTGCTGTGCTGCTGCCCTCATCCACAGTGTCACCGTGCTGGGGACCTCACGGCCTTCTCTGCCACCAGGGCCTTGCCTCACACTTAAAGCAGCGTGCCACAGCTCTGACCAGGGACAGAAATGGGGAGTGCCAAGCAGGAGAGGCAGGAGAGCTCCCTTCAGCCTTGAATCCAGCACCCCAGCGACCCCAGCCAGGAGGGCTGAGCCATGGGATGTCCCTGCCTGACTCACCCCCCGCCATGGCTGTTTTTAGGCTGGGGGCATGCAGGGGGTTATTGCTGAAATGGGGACGGGTGGCCCTGAAATGGTTGGGCAGGTCCCCAGGGCACTGCAGGTCCCCAAGCCCTGCCCAGAGCCAGGGGGGCTGTGCTGCTGGCACTGGGCAGGGAACGGGGCTCCCTGCCCCACAGCCCACGCTCCCTGTCCCCAGGCGTGGAGGGCACCCCGAAGGGCAGCAGCCTGCCAGTCCTGCAGAGCCCGAATCACACGCACAGCACGAGAAGGGTGAGGAGAAAGTCACGATTACAACACCAGCAACAACTAGCCCTAGAGGTGGTGATCATCTCACAGCAACGCTACACACGGCGGGAGGCAGAGAGGACGCTGAGCAGGGTTTAGTGGGGTTGGCAGACAGAGACCCGCTGCTGGGGCACAGAGGGGACACGGGCACGGCAGCTCCGCGTCTCCTGAGAGGCTCCTGCTGCTGGGAGTTCAGTTTCCTCGCAGGCCGCGGGCATCTGCGCTCCGGGCGTCCCTCCTCGGGTCTCTGGCTCTGCGTGGGAGGCAGAGCAGTGGGTCACAGACATATCAGTGGGTCACAGACGTATTTTATGAAAAATCCCTTTGTCAGGGTCTTTTCTCCTGAGAAGCTGGGAAGCTTCAGCTTTTCCATGTTTTGCTGCTTTAGGATGTGATTTGGAGAATTGTTTACCCAGCATGTGAAATTGTTTTTACTTGGTGACCAATGACAGCCACCTGTGTCGAGGCTGTGAGCAGTCTCAAGATTTTATTATCATTCCTTTCTATTCCTTTCCAGCCTTCTGATGGATCCTTTCACACTATTCTTTTTGGTATAGTTTTCATATAGCATTATAATATCATATCACAATATAATAAATCAACCTTCTGAAACATGGAGTCAAGATTCTCATCTCTTCCCTCGTTCTGAGACCCTTGAACACAACCACAGCTGTGGGTCAGGCTTTCCCCACGCTGGGGTTGTACCCCCAGCACAAATTCCCAGCATGGGCTCCAGCCTTCCCCCTCTCCACAGCAGGACACAGCCCAGGGGGTTGGGGAGCTCAGAGTGAGACACCCTGAGGAGTTCCCACCCAGCTTTCTGAACAGCCTAAAACCAAAACCACTCAGGGGTGGAGGAGCAGCAGAAAAGGAAGTGTAACACAAGGGAAAGTCCGGACAGATGCTTCCTTTTCCTGCCTGTGGACACTCCCAGCACTGAGTTTCCTTGCTGTGGACCCCACCAGTGCTCGCCCCCACCCCATCCCAGGCATGCAGAGCTGCCCGGTCCCACTGGTCTGCTCAGAGCCCCACAGTCACCCCACAGGCAGCCCCAGCTGTCCCTCCCACGCTGATGTCCCCACCCAGCCTGGCCTGGACTCACAGCATTGGCTCCTGCTCAGTTCTCTGCCTTCTGTGCTGCCGTTGCTGCAAAGGGAAGAGCAGAGGGGTTTGTGGTGCCTGCCCAGCAGGGAGGGGGCTGTGACACGGGGAGGTGGCACAGTGACCACAGGACAGGGACCTTACCATTCGAGGTGATCAGGTTCTCTGCCTGAGCCTCCTCCTCCCCTGGAGCCCTGCAAGGAGAGGAGCACGGTGAGGGCAGCTGGGACCTGGGCTGGGGCTGGGACCTGTGCTGGGGCTGGGACCTGTGCCCATCAGGGGTGGGATCTGTGCCCATCAGGGCTGGGATCTGTGCTGGGGCTGGGATCTGTGCCCCATCAGGGCTGGGACCTGTGCCCATCAGGGACTGGGTCCTGTGCCCATCAGGGCTGGGATCTGTGCTAGGGCTGGGATCTGTGCCCCATCAGGGATAGGATCTGTGCCCATCAGGGGTAGGATCTGTGCCCCATCAGGGGTAGGATCTGTGCCACATTGGGGGCTGGGATCTGTGCCCATCAGGGGTAGGATCTGTGCCCCATCAGGGGCTGGGCCCTGTGCCCCATCAGGGGTAGGATCTGTGCCACATTGGGGGCTGGGATCTGTGCCCATCAGGGGTAGGACCTGTGCCTCATCAGGGGCTGGGGTGGCCAGGAAGGTGCACTGGGAGCAGGCAGAGCTGCTCCCCCAGTTTTGGGCAGCCCAAAGGGACACCCAGAGAGTGCAGCCCCTCTGCCCCTCAGCTGTGAGAAGGACCCTGGGAGGATCAAAGGGAGCAGAGGGGCTTTCCAAGGGAGGTGTTCCCCACCAGGCTGCCCTCACTCACCTGGGCTTCTGCTTGAAACTGCACCTGCACCTCCTGCCTGCAAGGGGAGAGAAGCTCTGTGAGCGTGGCCCAAGGGGGAATGGGATGAGGCCTTTCCCACCACGGGAACAGCCCCTGCTGCCCACCTGCCAGCCCAGCACCCCCCACCTCCCCCCTGACTTACTGAGGATGAGGAGAATGCCCACGGTGAACAGGACCACGGCGAACACCAGCCCCCCGATCCTCAGGCTCTGGTAATCTGGGAGGGGGACACACAGGGCTCATTGCTGCTGGCTTCAGGGAGGGGACGGCTCTTTGCTGCCCGTGGCACCCCCACAGCCACCCCCAGGCTCAGCCATGCTCACTCACCATAGTTAAAGGGATCCTCCTCCTCCTTCTCCTGCGTGGCCACTGGAAAGGAGCAGACAAGGGGGTGTGAGCTGAGTGAGCCCCTGGCTGAGCCCTGCCAGCTCCCCACAAACTCTGGGGCTCTGGGCTCTCACGGCTGCTGTCCCAGCCCCACTCCAGCCCCCTTGGACCCCTGTGGAGGCTGTTCCCCGCGGTCCCCCAGCAGTTCCTGAGGTGTGTGTGGCACCTACCGTCTGCCACGGCCGCTGGCACCAGCAGGGAGCACAGGAAGATGAGCGCTGCCTCCATGGCTGCTGCGAGAGAGGGGACAAGAGGGCGTCAGCACCAGAGACCTCAGGAGGCCACTGGGACAAGGCCAGGGAGCACGGGGGAGCTGCAGACAGCCCCATGGCATGGGGAGAGCCAGGCTGGTCCTAGGAAACAGCCAGGGTGCCTGGTGCCATGGCTGCGCCCAGCCCAGCAGTTCAAAGGCAGGAAGGGAAGGGGTTGAGCAGCCAGACAGATTTTTCTGTGATGTATTTTCCACCATCTCCACCTGGCATAAATCTCAGTGCAGTCTCAAGTTTGCTCTGCAGGCAATGGGGCCAACACCCCAAAATCCCACCCTGGGCATCCCTGGCAGTGCTGTTCAAACCCTCCTGGAGCTCTGGCAGCCTCGGGGCCGTGCCCATTCCCTGGGGAGCCTGGGCAGTGCCCAGCATCCTCTGGGGGAAGAGCCTTTTCCTAATATTCAACCTAAACCTCCACAGAGACACAAATAACAAAGAAAATAGGCTGGATTTACAGTTACCCTAGTTTGCTAAAACACTCAAGACTAAATCCCGCTGTCTTTGGGAGAAGTTGGCATAACTTAACCAGTTTGCTGAATATTTCCAGCCTCCTAAACTGGGACAGACTCCACTCGCACTTGGGATTATTTTTTAATGTGTTTTTCTTTTCAATTAAAAACTTTCTCAAGAAGATTTAAGAGACACCACGGAAGAAGAGGCAAGAAGAACAATTTTACTTTGCTCTTCCTACATCTGCTCTTAAAACTTCATTGGTTTTGAGCATCCCAGGGCTCCTCTCAGCACAGCACCCGGCCATCAGCCCCCGACCCGGCCCCCGATGATGATTTGTCCCAATTAGCATAGCAATTACACTCCCGCAATGAGGCCAGCGGCCCTGGTGGGACCGAGCTCAAAGACACACTTGCCCTCCGGGCTCCCTGCAGCAGCAAGGAGAGGCCATAAATAATCTCGGTGTCCCCTCCCACGGGAGCCTGTCCCTGTCCCTTCACTGGGGACACCCGGCCGGAGCACGGACCTTTCTCCCCGGCTGTGAGGACGCTGTGGCCGGGCTGTGACACCCCGTGCCAGCTCGGGCAGGGGGACACGTCCCCAGCTGTATTTGGGATGGGAGCGACCCGGCAGCGCTGCTCTGCCCAGGGAGGGCATCGCTACCCACAGCCTGCTGCCAGCATCCCTCCTCCAGCTGCCGGGGGACAGCCAGGGGACAGGGGGGAGCTGCTCCCCGTCCTGCCCGCTGGCACGGGGCACTGCACACCCGCTTCTGCGCGGGGGACAGCCGGTGCCAGCAGGAGAGGGCTGGGCTGATGCGGCCCCTCGGAGCGGGGCGGTGGCAGGCTGGCCGCTGCCTCCGTGTCCCCGCAGCCGCCCGGGGCTCTGCCTGCTGCTGTCAGCGGTGCCAGGCGGTCACCCCGTGCCCCGGCGCCGGGCTGGGTGCCCATACATGGTCCGGAGGGCTCGCTGCTGCCTCGGGAGCGCAAGGGAGGTTATCGGGAGCGCCGAGTGCTACGGAGCTGCTGCAGCTGCTGCGCTGGATTAGTGCCGATAAGGAAGGGGCCCTCGACACAGCAGGAATTCAGCTCGCTGACGATGCAGAGCCCGGCAGAGTGCCGCTCTTCAGCCGCTGCAGAGCCTGACCTGATTCCGCTGCGACCTCCAGCCCAGCCCAGCCCCGCTGCCCCGAGGTGCCCCAGACCCTGCCGCGGCCCCTTCTCGCAGTTTGAGCTGCAGGACTGGCACGGAGCAGGTCAGCAATGCCCACCAGAGCCGGGCACTTCCCACTGCACCCACAGCGGCAGCGCCGGCCCCAGCGACCCTCCCAGAACCCGCCTTGCTCATCACAGCCAGCGCATCCCAGGGTCACTCCCATCCCTCCCTCCCTCCCCTGCCACGATTTGCCATTCCGAAGGCGAAGTGTTTACCCGAACACTGGAGGGTTTCATCCCCCTCTGCTGCAGCTGCTGGGCCATTGTGCAGCACAGGGCTGCGCGGGAGCGCTCCCAGACAAACCCCCTCGTTTGCTGAGATGCAGATTTCGGGTAATTACCAGGTCTTAGAAACACACACAAAGAAGCCACAGCTGGTGACACAGTCACTTCGAGCTGCACATGTCCTTTCTCTCACGTTGGAAGCTGCAAAATCAGTCACTTTACCCCTCCGTGGGCTCTGTGTGTGCACAGGGGCTGTGACCCAGCTCACGGTCTGGTGCTGTGATCAATATTAATTGGCTCCCACATCCTAAAACAAATCATTCATCAGATTTTTACTGTTCTGCTGCTATTTGCCCGCTACTGGATCACTCCCTGAAGAACACACTCGGGGAATCTTGCGTTATTTCCTGCCCTGAGCCCCTCCACGTGGCACTGGGCCCTGCCCAGCCACACACACCCCCTCCAAGCCCTTGCTCGGAGTTTGGCTTCTCGCACGTAGCGCGGCAGAGTTCGCTGCTGGGCCGAGCCAAGCGCGCAGCACACATATGTTCTTTGTTTTTCCATCTCAGTTCCTAGAATTCACACACTTGCCTGCGCTCAGACTTATCTCTGCACGAGTGAAGCGCCAGGGTTGGCAGTGTCCCTGCTCCAAAGGCAAACACGGCGCTCCGCAGCGCAAACGAGCCCAGCTCTCCTCCAAGGGAGCATATGCCTTGCAAAGAGCCACAGGTTTTTTGGGTTGCTCCAAGCTGGCCCACCCACTTCTTCCTGAAGCTGAAATAAAGTGAGAAGAGCGAGCACTGCCGTGGGTTTGCCGCTCTCCCCGCTCCTGCCTTCCCTCCTGCTGACTCCAGCTGTGCCTTGGCACAGGAAAGGAGAGGAAAACAGCAGCTGCCACGTCCCACAGCCCAGATCTTTCCTTGTTTTCTCCCCATTGGTGACACAAAGTTTGGAGTCACCACGGGCAGTGGAATGCCTGTGACTCAACCAAAACATGGGGGTTTCCTGTTAAAACTGCGAGATCCGGTGGAACACGGAGAGAGGCGGAGCAGCCCAGGAGCCCAGCAGCAGCGTCCAGAACTCGCCTTCCCTCTCATCCCAGCTCAACCTGCTGCTGTTTGAGGGATACCAGATCTCTTCCCACCATCCCTACCCCCACAGAAGAGCCGGTGGTCGGAGGAGGCAGCAGGAATTTGTGAGAGGCTCAGGGGGGAGGAAGCAGCCACACAGAGCGAGGAAGTACGTGGGAGGATGTTCTCTGGGAGGATGTGGATGAGAGTGGGCTGGGGGATTAACCCAGCCAGGGCTGGACCTGCCCCACGGTGAGGGTCAGTTCCCCCTGCCCAGAGCAGCCAGCAGTGACACCAACAAGGCCGGGTGACAGGGCAGGGTGACACCCTGGCAGCAGGAGCTGGGAGTCACCCACACCCACGGATGATTCACGGCCCTGCCGCCGCCCTGCCACGCGCACAGCCACCACTCCCTCCATGCCGAGCACAGCCACGGCTCCTCCTCAGCCTCTTCCTCCTGGATGATCCCTCCTTGCCCATTCCCACCGGCTTGGTGATGTGTGTGTGTGTGCGTGGAGCCTGGGTGAGGGAGAGGAGCAGGCAAATCCGGGCAGGCAGACCCAGTCTCAGCTCTCTGCAGGGCAGCAAACCCTGCCAGAGCAAGGCAGGTGAATTTGTAACGCCGTTGGATCTCCAAGCCCCCTTTTCCTTTTCATTGTTTTGCATTGCTCTGCCCTGTCAAGTCTCAGCCATCACAGCGCAATTCCGGGCAGCCTCCGCCTTCCGTCAGGAGTCCTCAGGGCATCTCCCGAAGATCAGACCTAGTTAAAATCTCTGGTTTCTTTGCAAAGCCCCCCAGACCGTGACAGCAGCGCTCCGTTGCCCGGGGCATTTGAGAGCGTGCATGTGTGAATGGACATTTCCAGCTCTGCATAGATGTGCTCTTCTGCCATTTCACGTCAGCATCAATCTGGCTATTAATGTGCCTGTTGTTGTGCCTCGTGCTTCTAAATGAGAGAGGAGAGGAGATTTGCAGCCCTCGCCATTCTGGTCTGGATGGCCCTTCCCAAATCTGGTGCTGATTCAGAGGCTGACTGGATGGGAGACACGCTTTACTGCAGTCTAATTGTCTCTTCTGCTGGCTTGGGGAGTCTCTGAATGCACCATCCCTCACCTGTACCCCAGAACTCCCCTTGCCTCCTACAGGGCTTCTTTCAGCCTCATGGAACTGATCCTAAACCACTGAGGAGCCTCAGCCAAGACTGCCTGGCCATGTGTGGCTCAGCACAGTCCCCAGCCCCCGGTGACACCCCAATGAGGCAGCAAGGCCAATCCTTCACTGGGGCAAACCTCCAGTGAGAACCCTGCCTGGCCAGGGAACCCAGCCTGGGCTCCAGCAGGTACCAAACATCACCTCCCACAGGAGTCTGCTGCTCCTGATCCCTCCTTATTTGATTAACAGATAACCAAGGGCTGTAAACCTGACTGTGCACCTGCCTGGACCCACCACACTCTTGTTTGGCCACACAGCAGCTGAATGAGCCCAGCTGTGCAGGGGCATCAGCCACGAGAATCCCACAGGTGAGACAAAGGAGGGGTTCCCTGGAGGGTCCTGGTGGTGAGAGTGCCCCAGACCTTCAGAACACCCTGGCAGAGCAGCGTGCAAGGAGCTCTTTGAGGCTCCTGAGCGTGCTGGGCTCCACAGCAGAGCCTGCTCTGCAGCACATCAGAGCGGACATTTTCTCCCTTCTCTCCTCTGCTGTCACCATCAGCCACGACCACCGTGAGCACAGGGCAGGCAGCAGTGCCCAGCAGCATGGCTGCTGTCCCCAACACTGCCCCAGGCACAGAGCGATGGCAGGTGGCACTGCCCCTGGCTGGGACAGGACAGGACAGGACACCTCCATGCTGCCAGTGCCAACGGTGCCCTCTCCATGCTCAGGGACACAACAGCTGCAGAGCTCAGCAGCCTCGTTACACCTTGCAAACACACAAACAGCCTGCAAGGCAAACACGGGGGAGCAGCTGGACACAGAGCTGCTGGTTTGCTGTGCCAGGGAGTGCCCTCCACACCCAGCACAGCCGTGGCTCCCTGCCGTGTTTTACCTGAATGAGAAGGTTGAGACAAAGCAGATAAAATTTCCAGGTGAGCGTGAGCCATGAGGCTGATGGGAGGAAGGTGTAGACTCACAGGATATCCTCCAGCAGGTTCCAAACACGCTCTAACAGGTGGCCTGGTTTGGCAGCCATGGCACTTCATGCTGGCAGCTCTCCACTTCACTCCGCCCAGGAAAAATGGTCCAGTTGTGCATGAGCAGGGATTCTCCGGGTTTGTCTTTGTTTCAAACTGGGAGCAAAACCACCCAGCGGGACTGAAAATCCCAACGAGACCCACCAGCATCTTGGAGCGCTGCGGGCTTGCCAAAATGGGTGCTCCATTCTATTCCACACACGGCTTTCCCCGAGAGGCTGCTCCTTCACGCTGCTTATTCACATCCACACAAACCACCTGTCACTTTCCCTCCCACAGAAATATCCCTGCAAGATCCAAGTTCCACCACATGGACTCCAAAACCCGTTTCTTTGGAAGCATTAATTACACACCCGGAGAGACACGCTCTTCCCTTCCTCCGTACGCCTTCCCGGGATGAGGCGCTCGGCTGTTTACGCACGGTGTTACTACAACATTGAACAACAGGAGCCCGAGCGCTGCCAAGGGCTGCGAGAGCGGGATCCCCCCGGCTCCCCGGGATCCCCCCGGCACCCCGGGATCCCCCCGGCTCCCCGGGATCCCCCCGCTCCGCACATCCCTGCCAGCCTGCCGAGCACCGCCCGTGCTCTCCCCGCGGGGGTCTCGGGTGGGGTCCGCCGGGGCATCCTCCCCAGCACGGGGGGCTGGTAACCAGGCAACGGTGGGATGAGGGAAACCGCGGTACCCGCCGTTGCCATGGCAGCCGCCGGGGCCGGGATGCGGGCGGGTCGGGGCGAGGGGCGATGCCCCGGGGCAGCGGGGCGGGGTCGCGGCCGCCTCGCCGGTGGCAGCGGGCCGGGGCTCGGTACCGCACCCCGCTACCGGGGCACGCAGCCCCGAGCGGGCACCCCCAGCCGCGCGCTGCCGGGCGCACCCCGACCCCCCGAGCGAGCCCCCCGTTCTCTCCCTTCCTCCCCACCGGCCCCCCGAGACCCCTGGGCGGCCGGACCCACCTGAGCTGGCCGGGCGGAGCCGGGCAGAGCCGGGCTGGCCCCGCGGCTCCGGGCGGTGCCGGGGGAGCGGAGCGGAGCGCGGAGCGGGGCTGCCGCACAAAGGGGAGCGGGCGGGCGGG